ATTCATTTAATTTTTCTTATTACAGGTGTATTTTATATATGATTTATAGTATTTGGCAAACGTCACATTGATATTAAAGTTAAAAGCTTAAAACAAAATTTTAAATTTAAGATGGGTAATTACATTGCTAAATTAAATAATTAATTCCTACTAAACCTCATGCATTTAACCAATATGTTTTTAACATATGTTCTCCATGTATTAACATGTTGTATAATGATCTCTGATGATTTACTCTGCTTACTACTTGATATGTCATATTATTAAAAAGAAGTATACATGTTATTTTTACTTCATCAATGTTTATCTAATAATTTTACCTCTGAGGAAAACATTAGCTTCTCACAGCAAGACACATATATTCTTACAAGATGAACTATAATTATTAATAGACAAACAAAATATTGTATGTAACAGTGAATGTAAATGAAAAAGTTGTGTATATAAATGTTTGCATGTGCATGATGATAGAAGGACTTGGCGCATTAGTTGAGGACGCTAATATATCATCACACAATGTCTTCTCTACTAACACAAATAACAGTTAGATAATAGTGGAAATAATACCCAAACTCCACCATGCATATTGTGTATGTATCGGGCAGAGATGAGCATGAGTATTTTCCAGCTCAAATAATACAAGACATGTTCTAGGATCCACTTATGCCGACTGAGTACATATTGTTTAGGAGTTAGTCAGGCTACGTTTAAACGGTGCCCCAAAAATGGATGTATTAATATAAAATATAAAAGAAATAAGTGAGAAATATTAATTTCAGTAAAAACCTAAATTAAAATGTAACCATATAGATATAATTTCTTGCATATTTTAAATTAATAACTAGCATAAATAATACTCATATTTTTTTAGTACCGTGATTTAAGATTGTAATTATCCCACTGAGTTTTTTAAAAAATTATTACATTATTATTTAAATAATATAATAAATGACTGAACAGTGCTATTATCAGGATCCAAAGAAAATTGGAGGATGAGTGTTACGTAGTCGATAATCAATATAGAATTTTTGTAGAAAAATCATGCATCAATCCTTTATGTCATTATGTAAATGTTAGGGTGTCCTCTAAAAGTGACGTATTGCGTGACCTAAATACGATGAAAACTATGCAAGGAGTGTTGCCCAGACGCCCGTGTATAGTATTAAATCAGCAAAAGGTTCCCACATTATGAAAGGTTTCCATCTAATAAGTTAAGTCCATTAGAACTTGAAATATAAGTACTCTCACATGTAAATTAATGAAATTAATAGACATTATGGTTGATAGAAAAATAAATATCATACGCATTCAAGAAAATAAATGAGTTGAAAAAAAGGCTAAAAAGATTAATAGCTTCAGTTTTGAACTTAGGGATTAAGGTAGAAGTTGTAATAGAAATGGTATACGTGTAATCATGCAGAAGAGTTTGAAAGAAAATGCTGTAAAGATTAATAGAATTCGAGATAAAATTATAGCCCTAAATAATATTGTTGATAACAAAAATCTTAATGTTATAAGTGTGTGCTCATGAGGTAGATTTAAATATATATTCAAAAAAAAAAAGGAATGAACTAGAAAAATTAATACAAATGATACCATTTGAAAAAAAAAATTATTGGAGGACATTTAAATGGGCATGTTGATAGATTGGCAGAAGATTTTAGAAATTTTCATTGTGGTTATGGTTTTGGAGAGACTAATGAAGAAGATTGAGTTCTGTTAGATTTTGCTTTAGCTTATGATTTTATTATTGTTAATACTTTATTTTTTTTTAAAAAAAGAATAGCATATTATCACTTATAAGAATGATCCAATAAAACACAAACTGATTATTTCTTATTACAAAAAAAAATCGTCGCAATTATAAAGATTATAAGATCATTCCAAATTTTGATTTTAAGATAAAGGGTTGAAAGATGAAAGATACAATAAAATATTTTCATAAAATTAGATGAAAGCACTTAAAAGACATAACATTAGTTTTAAAAGTAAATTTTAATATCCTAAGTTTGGGTTGTCCATGAAGAAGATAATGTTATGTGAAATAAAATAACAAACACTACTAAGAAATTTGCAAAAGATGTACTTGAAGAATTAATGCTCTAAATAAAAATAGGTGATGATAAAATAATAATGTGCAAATATATGTATATATATATATATATATATAAGAAATTTTATTATTAAAATTAGTTTAAAATGTAAAAATTTAAAGAATTATGAAAAATATAAGAAAACCCATAGGAAGTCTAAGAGAATAATTTGTAATACTAAACATTTTGTTTTTAAGGATATTTTTAATATATTAGATACTAAAGAGAATGAAAATATATGCATAAAATAGTCAAACAAATAAATAAGACAAGCAAAATTTAATTCAACTATATTAAGAATGAATATCAAAAATGTATTTTTCATAGATGAGGATATTCAACATAGATTTGTGAGATATTTTGATAAATTTTTTGATGAAAATTTTGAAAATACGATAGACTTTAGTGATCTTAATATCATTAATAATATTAACATTAATATATATATATATATATATATATATATATATATATATATATTTACAGTTGCATGAGTAAAATGAAACTTGACAAGGCTTTAAAGAAAATAAAGAGTAATAAATAAATAGGACCTCGTGGTATTCCAATAGAAGTGTGAAAATATTTAGAAAATTTGAGAATTTCTTGATTTACTAATTTTTTAATATTATTTTAAAAACTAAAGATGTTTGAGGAGTGGAAGAGTATTTTGATCCTTATTTTTAAGAATAAAAGGGATGTACAAGAACGCGCAAATTATAGAGGAACGAAATTAATGTGTCATATATTAAAATTATGAGAAAGAGTAATTGAACATAGGTTAAGACGTGATACAAAAATTTCTCAAAATTAATTTGGATTTATGTCGGGCAAGTTTACTAAGAAAGTTATATATTTATTAAGGTTTTTGATAGAGAAATATAGAGAGAATAAGAAGGATCTAAATTTTTTTGCTGATTTAGAAAAAACTTATAATAAGGTTCAAAGAGAAGTTCTTTGGAGAGTTGCAAAAAAGAAAGATGTTGATATGCCTTATATTTCAAGTAATGAACGATATGTATACTAGAGTTGTTGCTTGTGTTCATATAGAAAGATGATTGACTAAGTATTTTCCTATTTCAGTTGGATTACATCAAGAATCAGTTGTAAGGCCATATCTTTTTGATTTAGCTATGGATGTTCTTACTTGACATTTGCAAGAGGATGTACCTTGGTGTATGTTTTTCGATGATGATATTCTTCTTGTGGATAAAACTGGAAAAAAAGTTCAGAATAATGGCCGAATTGTGTGATAGTAAATTATAGCTTAGAGTTAAGGGAAAATTTTATGAGATGGTGGTGAAACGTGCAATGTTTTATGACGCAAAATATCCATCGTGCAATGCTTTATGATCCATCTGGTGGTGAAACCGTGCAATGCTTTATGTATGATCCATCTGGTGGTGAAACGTGCAATGCTTTATGATCCATCTGGTGGTGAAACGTGCAATGCTTTATGACGCAAAATATTGGCCTGGATCCATCCACACATACATACATACACACATACATACATACATACATACAAACATATAGTTTGCATTCGATTGCATGTTGGATGCTTAGCATTGTTTTAAAGAGCTTTCACAATTCTCATCAACCATATTCAACTGTGAGTAAAATTGATAAAAAAAAACTCTCATTTAATATGCTTAGGTGTCCCAATTATGAAAACCAGGAATATGAATATTTTTTCAAAAATAATTCAAAAGCTTCTTTAAAAAATTATATAGGCGATAAATCATATGCATAACTTTAATTATATACAAAACCAAAAAGTTGGGTACAATGGACACAAATGTAAAAACATGCACGTACAATATCAGTTAAATATAAATTTTAAGGTAATATATATAAAGTATTTTTGGAACATGACAATATATTTTCTTTATGCAATACAACTATTGGGTAAATACCAATTATGGTTATAGCTTATTAAGTACACGGTATACCTTAATTTCTCAATTGAAGACGTAAGCCCTTCAAATAAAAAAGTCTAAGAATATGACGAGCAGTTTCTAGTTTAGTAAAGCAACAACTAAATAATATCTGCTTAATAATTTCTTGTGTTATTGGAAAAATTCATACTTATCAACTCAGAAAATTCAATCAGTCAGAAATCCCAATGGAGTAAGATTATTCACTTGTTATGGTTATCAAGTCAGTCATGTTACCATATAATTCAATAATGATACTCATTTTACAGTCATAATCATCTTTATAATTAACCTTATGGCCCTTAGCCTAATTAGAAGAATTATTTAAGTTAAGAATATAGAATAGATTACAGTAGATAAATAGATATTAATCTTTCTTAAGTTATATATGACTGTCTGATTGATTCTTATTGACTTACATAATTGTGCTATATCCAAATAAATTATACAAGATTTCATAGCTTTCTTTCCCTCAAATAAATTTATTTAAACAAACATTGTTAACATTTTACTTTTCCAATTTTCAAATAAAATACTGGTGCAAAGGCAAGGGCATCTGTCAGCACAATAAAACTTATTTGCTGGAGAAAGAAATGCAGCTTGTGTGATAAATAGGAGCATTTAATAGTTTCATATTGCACAATTAGCAAAGGAATTAAACATGCCACAATAGCCATAAGAAGAAAGATAAAGGATACCAAAATAATAGGGGCATTTACATGCATACCACTCAATTCCATTGCATTAACATTTGTAACACCTAAGCTTTACTTTTTTACATTTATACAACCCAAATCTTTCATATTACATCAAAAATACCACCATTTTAACTTTATAAAAAAATAAAATACATGTTTTCATGCATATATAAGGTGGTATATATGTAAAAATTGAAGTTTAGGTGTTAGATATCTAAACACAAAAGAATCGAGTGGTGCGTTTGTAAAACTTCCTAAAAAAATATACAACTTACTCGTTAAAATCACGTTGTGCGTCGAAAAAATGTACAGGAGTATCCAGGCCATTGTCATATTCAAATGCAGCTTCAAGGGCTTCAAGAAAGTGAAACCTCTAGAAATAAAAAAGAAAAAATTTCAATCACACGAAATATTAGGCATAACACTTGTACTAATGATATCGCCATCATTAACCAAATGGATAAGAAAATTCATCAAGAAAATAGTTTGCATATGTTAAATAAGAAATAATGATGGGTCATTTACATACATACAACCCAATTCTTATGTAGTACATATCTAACACCAGAAATTTTCTTTTTACATTTATACCACCAAAATCCTTCACATCATATAAAAAATACCACTATTTAACTTCCAGAAAGTGAAATACACCGTTTCATACTTTAAATTTATGTAAAAAATGAAGTTTAGGTGTTAGATATATCAATACATAGGAATTAAGCGGTATGAATGTAAATCTTCCAATAATGATATGGTCAAACAGAGGTGATATTCCAATCTGACTAAACAAATTGAAAGGAACCCTTATGAAAGGAGAATTAAAACAATTAATACTTTTCTAGAAGGATCAACAATAGGTAAGAAATAATGAAATACACATCTATTTAATGCTAATCACACTAATAAACATGAAAAACTACTGGTGATTGTTCATCAGTTAAAAGGTTGTTTTGTGATATAAATGACACATTTAGGCTGCTGGTAAATTTTAGGGAACTTTGATGTACTCAACAAATTGTTGTGGCACCCGAAAAATGCAACTATATTAAGAAAATATCCTTTGAAAACAAAGTCATAAAACTCCGACAGCAAAAACAATGGAGGCAATTATCAAAAGGGAAATATAAACAACAAATCAAAACATAAGGTTGTTATCAATCCATTACATAATATGCATACAGAATATTATTATGGATTATTTTAGCTGTTGTGCATTATTTCTAGCATATTTACTAGTTTTTTATTGCATCTAATTTTCACGAAAAGTAGGCAATCATTAGAACTTTTTTTATTTCATTTAGCAACAATAATAATTATATAAAATACGAAATCCTCTAGAATTTCAAACCAATGGTCAAACTCCCTCCCTCACACTCTAAATTTCCAAAAACTAAAAGGGCTATTTGGTGGCCTGTAAAAGAATAGAGAGTAAATAGAGTGTTGTATATTCAATTTACAGTGTATTCTAAATACATATGGATCATTTAGTCGTCTATAAAGTAAATGAAGGAGAATTTTTTTTCTTTTTTTTTTGATTAAGTGCATCCAGAGTAAAAAAAAGCAGCAGATTCTAAATACTGAGAGTTATTTGGTTATCAGTAAAGTAAATATAGAGACATTATTTTTCCTAATTACTAGTTATATAACATGTAAGTTTTATAAATTTACATATTTAATATTTAATACACATTTATTTAAATAAATTTTATAATAAAATAACATTAAAATAAATTTTATTTTAAATTAATTAATTTTATTGATCATTTTATATAATTTTAAAACTTGGGAGTAGCATAAATAAATATAAAGATTTGATTTAGAATACAATCGAATTAGTAATTCATATATTATACCCCTCTCAAAAAAAATTTAAAAGTAGGTCGCAATTAGATATTAATGTGCAATCGTTACTATGCAAGCTTATACAGATAGTTTCTTAATTTCTCGAAAATCAATTTCAAAGAAAAATAACAAACGAAAGAAAATTCATTGAAATGAACAGCATCAAGATAAAATTTTCGAGAATAGTAGAGTTGTGAAGTACGGTTAAACAATAGCACAATAGCGTTGGCATCTGTCCATAATTTCAATTAAATTCTAATTGATATGCTGTATTTTTCACAAGTTTATAGAAAGAAAATATGGAGAGTGGAAAATCAGGCACAATGTTGCTATTTTCCACATAATTTGTTTGTTTCTTCACAGAATTGAACAAGTTTGATATCATTGGAAAGCTAACAAAATTTATTACAGCTTTTATGCTAATCATTCCAACCAAATTCGAGAAGATACCCTATAATTCTCAAACACATTCGCAAAACCAAAATCAGACTTGGAAAAGCCAAACTTATTTCACTATTTCAAACATAACGCGCTCGTTTCTTGACGGAATTGAACTATTTTGGCATCACTTGAAACCTAAAAAAAAGTTATTGCAACTTTTATGCTAATCATTTTTTGCCAATTTTTTAGGACACAAGCTACAAGTTTTTACAGGGATTCAAACAAACAAAATCTTCCCTGAAAAATCTGACCCTATGTCACTGTTTCAGGCAGAATGTACTGGTTTCTTGACAGAATTAGATGATTTTAATATGATTGAAAAGCTAACGAATTCTCCACAAATTTTATATCATGCATTCCAACTAATTTTGAAAAGAATCACTACAACAAATATGTTTGGAAAAAAGAAATCTACATTTGGAAAAAAGAAATCAATAATTAGTCAAATATCTAAAAAGAATAATAGCATTCTAGTATTAGCGTTATCAATCATTCCTTGCACAAATCATGCCTCGCATTGAAGTTTCATTCTACAACACCATGAAAAATCATTCTGGTTGTCAACTACATATCATAGCTCATAACTACTGATTCAATGCTCGTTAAAAAAAGATAAATGTAAACATTTATAATAGCATAAACAAACAAAGCATTTGTAGTACGTTACAACACTATTTCAAACAACAATACCTTCTGAATGTTCATCGCATCCAAAAAATTGACATATAAACAAAACATATATTATCTAAATGGCCTAATAGACAAGAGCAAAATATCAATATAGAAAGGACATTGCAGTACAAACCAAAAACTCGTTGTCCAAGAGTTGGTTAAAATAAACTACTATGCACAATCATAATCCATGAAAGAGGTGGCATTAAAACGTCTGTGATAACTTCCCATCTAAACTTAGCAAATCCAATATTCTATGAAGTGGCAGAGGAAGCAAAACTCTGTTATCCCCACAAACATCATTAATCATTTCCATAATACTTTAGAACACGCACAAGAAACAAATAATCTAATGAGCTTTAAAATTACAGGCTATTGCATCCTAGCAAAACACATAAATACTTCGTTCTACTATTCAATCAATCTCCAGAAGACAAACAAAAAAAAATTAATAATCTAGTTAAGCATTAAAATGATGCTCTACTGCATCCATCAGCCACAAAAAAACACTATATATTTTAACATTTCATCAATCCTAGGTAAAACGCAAGCATAACCCGCCATCCTCCTTCAGCTTCTATTTTATTTTTCAACATATGTTTAGTCCTTTGATGTCATGCTCCCGAATGTCTCTCGGTGCAAATTTGAATATCCAGGATACTCACTAACATTCTAGCAACATATTATTCAGTTAAATAATCACCATCCAATATAAGGATTAATTTCACAATTTAATGAAAAGGGAATTGCAAATTATGCAGTTACAATAACAATTCGACAACAAAACAACAAACAAGCCCCCAAACTAAATTTCATCATTTGTAGCTCAGTTCTGGATCAAGCTCAAGTTCAAACATCTGAACAGTGTATAGTTGCTAACAACAATAGACATTGAGATGAAATTTTAATTTGAATTCCTAGAAAAAATTGCATAAAGCTAGACATCACAATAAACTTCTTTTTTCCCCCTTTATATTTTTCCATGTTCCGTAAGCAGATTTTACTTTTCTGCAGTGTTAACTTTCCTAGTTAAATAAGCTTCATATATCTCCACCACAAGCCGGGGATCCTTGTCCAAAAGCTCCTTGTACTTCTTTTTCAATTAATGCAGATATGTTCTCTAAGATTGAAGACGAAGCAGTTTCAATCAATTGCTTAGCATGGTGCTGATGAGCAAAGGTGCAGCTTGCAATGGCATTCTCATTCTGTACTTTGGAAATCATAAATTTTCTCGCAGAAAGAATTGAGATGTTTCACTTGGTATTTCTTGGCAAGAACCAATAGATCAAAAGCAATCTGCTCATCAAGTAGAGCTTCTGCAGTGTACAAGCGCGTACAAGTACTAGACGAAAGAGTGAAGAAATTCATAGGAGACATTATAGATTTTAATCATGCAGCTATTCTTCTCTTCAATCTGGGTCTCCAGCATTACTTCAAAGACAGAAGACATGCTAATCTAACAAGGACGGAGGAAGGTGCGGCTAAGGCTGGTTGGATCTACCAAGCGAAAAGTATTGAGTGTACTAAGGGCTGTGAATTTCGGCAAAGGGCATAGGGTAAAGACTGCAAAGGCTTTAGATTCAATCTCAAGTACTGTCCCCTCAAGCGGAAAGTAATGGAGGGATCTACAAAGGCCAGTGGCGGAGGGGCATCATGTGTATTCGAGGCCTGCAAAGGCTACCAAAATAGTGGAGAACAGATGTCTTGAAGTTCAAAGGCTATGAAAGGGGGTCTTGCGACGAGGAGCAGAGGGCTTGAATGCATACTGGATTTCTGAATGCCTGAGAGCTGTAGGGTAATCCGAATTCACTCGAATCAAGCAGGTTTTAAAGCCATGTAGAAACATTCTCTCCATTTATTAAGAATACCTCAAAAAATATAATGCATTACATTTACTTTGCCCCAAACAATAAAAAAGTCAAATACCAAATAGCCCCAAAATCAAATGCATATTCCATGAGAACTAAGAATGTAAAAATAAAGAAAGATTCATCAACAAAAGCCCATAATCAATAATCGCACAAAAATTATCATTTTTTACATCAATTTTGTTGTCAGAGACATTTCCTAGAATTTTTCACCATGTATATTTTTCATTCCACATCCTCCAAATTTTTATTTGCTTCCTCATCAAAAATACATGTTGCATTTGTGTTTACCACCATAAGTTCCTCTTTCATGGCAGTTATCATGAAAGTTCAAAAATGTATGGTAATAGATGAATCCAAAGTATCTATCTACGTTGTCTTTCCTTGCCTCAAAAAACACATGCTCATGATTTAGGAGATAATAACCAAAATTCTACCACTATCTCCTCTGTAGGCACCAGATTTTGAACAAATGTTTCTTCCACGAGTCTTTATGGGAAGAATTTTATTGTTCAAGGGGAGTTGATGCAGTAGAAGACATGAACCAAGATAAATTTGTATTATTTTAGCTATTTTGAATTATTTATAACATTATTGTTTTCTTCTTATTGGATTTAGTTTTGACAAAAAAAAGAAAATCTAAAAACATCCTTTTCATTAGAACTATTTTTATTTTATTATGATAGGATTTTATTGAATTAAAAATTAAATCAGTTTGAATTATCGATTTAACCTGATTTCTATAAAAGAGGATAGGAAACATCATATTTATCACTATTTGATTAATTAATTAAAACTAAGCCACCTTTTCCTCATCCATTGTCATTTCCATCTCTCCTTTCAATTTTTTTTTTCACTTCCCAATTTGAAAAAAAATTAGAACCATCTCCTTCCTGCATGAATCACCAATTCTAAGAAACTTGGTCTCCATTTTCTATAGTTTTATATTGCCAATTTCTTCTTCCTTTAACAGCTGAAATAGTTTCAAGTTGTTTCCATGCTTTTATATTGATATTAATTGATTAATCAATTATAAACTATTTATGATTAGTAAAAAATTTATAATTATATAAAAAGTTTGCACTTTATGCATGAAGCTCCCACAATACAAGGTATCGGAAGGGAATGTTGTACACTTGTGTACAGTCTGCAGAGAGATTTTCATAAATTAAAATATGAGACCTTTAGGATACAATAAAAGCAAATTAAACATTACATTAGGGTCTTCCTATGTAAAATCTTATAAGAATATAAAAGCAATAATATATTCATTTTAGACATTTTGCAAGCTCATATAAATGTCAACATTTTTTTACAAAATATCACTCTTGTAGCAATTGAAACAATAATTTTAACATGATTTGGCACAAAAGTCATCAAATTTACTCGATAACACTGCATCAAAAAACGTTGCATAACACACCACAGTAAAAGACAGCAATGCCAAACAAATTTTTATTAGTACACAATTCTTATATATTTACATATCTCACACTTAAACTTCTATATTTACACGTGTAACACTCAAATCTTTAATATCACATAAAAATAGAACTACTACCACTTTTTAAAATTAAAATACACATTTTCAGTTAAAAGTTTAAAGCAACAAAGTGCTATGTATGTAAATATGAAAGTTTAGGTGTGAGATACATAAATACATAAGAATTGTATGCTACATATGTAAATTTCCCATTTTTATTTTTAGGCTTGCTAGGACAGTCATGAAGATGAACAGGCATTAAAACTAGAGGTTATTATGACGCAAAGGATAAGAAATTCACAGGTAATATGGCATAAATTAAACAATACAAATAAATAAAATAAAATACTTATAGCACAACTAATTCACTTCAGGTTGGGATAAATTCCATTCTTGTAGAAAATGCCACCAAATGTCAGATAAGAATGGAAAATTTCATTTGTGCTTATAAAAACAATGAAGAAACAAAAACTCACTGCAAAAAAAAGTTTGCAAAGTATCGCATTTTATATTGATGAAAAATATATAAAATGTTACCAATTCAAAAAAAAATGCTCACAACTAAATTACCTCTTCCAAACTCATGGTAGGCCTACTAATGTTTCTCCTTAAACGGCCAGCTCGATTTTCTGTTCGTGATCGTGAAGTCTGCCTTGTAGATGAATTAGGAAATATTGGTCTTCCCAACAAAGGAGGAAGGGAGGCCTCTCTCTGAATATCATTACAATAGATGAATACATTATTAACAAGTATAAAAAAAAATGAGCATTCAAGTTTTCCTAAAATGAGTTGGGAGAATGAAAAAAAAAATCAGCCTGCTATTATCAGAATTCAGTTAAAACAGGAAAAGCAAATTTAAGATAGATTAATCGCCGCTAATGAGCACTAACTCCATGGTGCCTCAAAAGTTTAAACGATAGTTGTAGGCACTAACTGAACGCCTTAAGCCTTCAATAGTGATTCATATTTTTTAAATAAGAGCACCTTGGAGTGCCTTAATGGCACCTTTGCTCACCAAACAACACTTTGCATCATTGCAATCTCAGGCAATTTTCTAAACTCTTTTCGCGTATTTTTTTCATTGTCTGACATATCATGAGAATTGTTAAATACACAAACTAATATAATTTTACATATAACATGTGGGAGGGGATGTGTTTACACTGGAGAAGGAAGCAGCCTGAGATATTTTGCAATCCAGGAGAAGAAGGCGAAGGGCTGAGGATGGCAGTTGATTCCCTTGCAGAAAATCCACTGGACCTCATATGAGGTATGGTGATGTCTCTATTAAGGAGAAGAGAGGGAGGTAGGCAATGGAAGACATACAAAGAAGGTGGAGTATATGGTTTGGTTTTGTATTTTGTAGCCCACATCCAAAGTGGCATAGTGCAGTGAGTGGAGGAATCCAACTTGAAGGCAAAATGTACAAAGTTTAGGGAATGCCCGCCTCATCATACCAAGAAGAATGGGCATAGGAGGAAGGAGAAGAAAGGACAGGATTCATCCTTTTCGGACATGCATTTAGCTTGAATAGCGTGGATCAAAAGTTTGAGAAAGATGTTCCCTATTTATTTTGGAGCAATGGCATTTATAAAGAGAAGGTTTTCCTCGAATTGGTTGTTTTAAAGAGATGTTGTAATGTCTTTGAAGTGAAGTTCAATCCTTTTCATCCTTTGTCAAGATTTGCAGTTATCCATGGAGGGCATATGAAGCTCACCTATGGACTTCGGGTAGGACATGAGTCTGACTGTACTATAACTAGATCACTAAAGGGTTGTTTGGCTACAGTGAAGATTTAACTAAAGTTGGTTATACTAAATCCTAGAGGGGGGTTAGATCCTAAAAATTTTTCAATATGATAGAATTTAAATCCAATTAAATCGTGATGTACTGTTTGCAAACTTAGGATTTAAGTTTGTTAGTTTAAGTTGAATTTAGATACTAATCTTTAATGAATGATTTGAAATAAACTGCAGAAATAAAACATGATTGACATTAAACATTTTCACAATAAGCTCAACAATTAGATTAGAGTCATCTCATTCGTGACAATTTAAATTAAAAATAAAGTCTTTATTACATAGAAGTCCATAAAACAAAGAACATTGTGAGTATCTAAAAGCCAAAAGATAATAGGCCACAATATTCTTCTATTATTATGCAAATGATTAGCAAATGATCACGTCCAGTGGCGTATTTACACCATTTTCTGTGAGCATTTTTTATCTAAGAAATTCAAATAGAGTTAGTTTGAATTAAAAAATCCAATGACCAACAAGTGCATTCCCATATATTTGCAACAATTAAATGCCGCCCTGCATCCCCCTTTGCCCAATTGATGCATGCATGTTGTGGTTTTCATCATTAGCAGTTACATCAACCAGCTTGCTATCATGTTACATTTCAATATGAGACATATTAAATAAAGGTCACCGCCATGAAAAAGCCAAAAAAATAATACAGTGCTGCACAAGAGGACAATATTCGCTTGGACATTGATCGAAATTATCGCATATGAGCTAGCAGTTAGAATGTTTTCTTACAAATGTCAGATATTCTTTTGAAAATATAATGTAACTGGGCATGACGGTAGTTGTGCAACTCATATGTTACTGAATATTTACAACATGTGCCTCCCCTGCACTCGCTCAAATGATAACAATATTCTCGAAAGGGAGTCATAAGTTTATTAGTGTTAGTCATACCCTGAGTCAACTAGATAATATAGTCCTTCAAATACTTGAAATGCCCCCTCCACTAGCCATCATAACATCCTCATGACTGAGGCAAATCCCTCCCACTACACATGATGTAGATTGGGTTGTAAACGAGCCGAGCTTGAGCGAGCTCAGGCTCAGCTCGTGTTCGGCTCGTTCGAAATTGTTCGTGTTCGAAATCGGCTCGTGTTCGAAACCGGCTCGTAAACAGTGTGTTAGTGTTCGACTCGAAATTGGCTTAGTTAAAATTAAACTGAAAAAATAGATATAGAGTGCTAGATTTGAACCTGGACCAAATGTATGCAAAAAAAAGTCGCATAACCACATTACCACAATAACAATTACTATTTAAACTTAGATATAAATATATATAATATATTATTATATAAATAATTATATCATTTTTTATTTCGAGCTAAAACGAGCTGAACACGAGCGAACAAAGAGTTGTTTGTGTTCGGCTCGTTTATAATTCGAGCTTTAAAAACTTGTTCGTATTTGACTCGTTCACATAACGAACGAGTCGAACACAAGCTACTTTAAGAGCCGATCACGAGCTGTTTGCGAACAACGAGCTTTTTTGACAACCCTAATGTAGACAAATTGGAGACCAAACGAGACCGCCACCATCACATTTCACAAAGTGAATCCCTTTCTATTTCGATATTGATTTTGCAACCCTTGACCAACAATTACAAGTATAAGTGTAATATTTAATGCCCCGACCATATTGCTAAAGAATGGATAGAATTATGAATTTGCTATTTTGTAAGAATAACACATAACTTCGATTGGAGGTAAATTAACAAGCTCATCCGTCAATAACATAATTACTTGCAAGGTATGGCTGAAATACCAACAAAATGTTTCCAATACATTTTGGATAAACTCATGCAATTGTCTATAACTATGGGCACATGCAACAACTCTAAGAAATATCTTGAATTGTTTAGTTGTAATCTTTTTTTTTCTTGTCAATAAATAGTTCATGACTAATTAAAATATCATAAAGCTACACAAATGCCACTAATGGTAGCGTAAATTTATTGTAGGAGGGCAAATAATGATCAACCAAAATATCACGTAAATATTCATGTCCGGTCTGCGAAGGAATTCCTCTTCATCTAAAGAACTATGAGCGTGTTGACATCAACTCACAAGATAGCGACAAAATAGATGAGTAAGACTATATATAAGAAGGTTACCAATTTTATTTCATCCAATCTCATCAACTAATACAAAGATGTGTAACTCCTCATCCCAAACCCAATCACTCCTATTGGACAAATTGGAACATCCCGAAGTCAGCCATAATGTTTTTAAACCTTGTCATAACTGCCTTTGTGTAAGATGTGTCTAATCTTCAATTTAATGCACCACAAATTCTTCCAGAGTACAACATTGGTTATATTTCCATACAAATACTACACCATAATCAATTTTCCGAGTACTACATTATGTTGCTCAGCCACCATAGAGTCCGGGTCAAGCTCTTTATTTCACCAACATGGATCGATGAACCTCATCTATAGCATATTGCAAACTCAAACTAACATACCATATTCACTTGCACTTCAAAATTTTCTTCATATCTAGTATTAAGTTTGGTGATTCACACAATAAATGATATGAAAAAAAAGAAATAATACCACAGAATAACTATACTACAAAGTTATTCTAAGGTGTGTAAATTGACCACATAACAATGTACAATTTTTGTGCAAAAAAAAATGTCACTTTCATCTAAATTTTTATTAATCACACATTTGGATGTATGTGGTAAGTACTACACATTCATAGATTCTTAGTTGCTAATATTTTCATGTTGGACAAGGCTACATCAATATTTTGTTTGACTATTAGGTTAAAGAAAATTGATTTTCGTAATCGCATCGACGGTCGCTTTGCTCAAGTTATATAAATAAATTTCTTAAGTGCTATTAACATTTCAGAGCTTGAATCAACTTTTGGGTCATATATTTTCAGTTGCCCTGGTTTTATAGAAAACCATTGTTTGAATAATAAGATTGCATTTGAAAATTTTGAGTATAGGAGAGATGAAATAGTGGATTAATTTAACTAATTTCTGCAAATTCTCAATGAGCTCATTACACGAATTTTTGTTTTTTCTTTAGCTTTTCTTCAATACAAATAAGAAAAAAGTCTATTTATTTAGTGGCCAGAATAATAAAATTAAAGGAAGATGGATCTATCCTTGTTTTACTAAAAGAAACTATTAAAAAATTATTGTACAAAACAAAGCAAGAAAGCAGACAAAATTCCTCTCATCTTAAAATTGCTTTTAGAAAATAGCATGAAATGCTACATGTATAAAACAAATCCCGGCAATTTAAAAGTTCTTATGCATGAAAATAAATTGCAATGACCTTAATTAGTAATTGAACTATATAATGAGGAAGCAATATTAGTGTAAACAATTAAAAGTTTTATTGCATTCATCAAAACATAAATTTAATAAATTTGAAATCCATCATAATAAAAAATTTGATAAAAATATCCCAAGCAATTTTTTTCTCAACCAACTACTAATTGCATTAATTAGCATCTTAATTGAATGTAGTTTTAGACATTTCATTGTTGACCAACCAATAAAAATAATTCCCCAATCAATAGAGAAGTTAGCAGGCCATTTTCTTTGAAGAGAGGTTCATACATTTTATGCATTTTTTAAATGATTTTATAAAAATGTGCCCTAGTAAAATATATTATACTAACAAAAGTGAATTTCCTAAACAACTATCAAGTAAAATGATGATAAATAAGTTGACCAATGGCATGGGTACTTGTTCTACTTCAACCAACAAGCAATCATTCACACATAATATTGCTAAAAAAATCTTAATACAATAAATATATTTGCTCGTGACATCGGTGTAATAAATTAAACTTATTCTTAACTAGGTATTCTATTGAATCAGTTAAGGCAGTATTGTTAAGAATATGAATTAAGCCACAATTTAAATATGAAAGGAGTAATTTAATTGATTGCTTTATGAAGCATTAACAGCTTTCTAATAAAAGAATTGCTTAAAAATGTCCTACAATAATTCAAAATGACATGCTTACACTCAAGATTAGTTTCAAATATCTTTAATTCTTAAATAAACCTTTGAAAGTCAACATTCATCCAATTCCTTAGTTTATATTCTATTATCATGCATGCATCAAATGAAAAAAAAGAGAGGATATACTTTATTTTTTTGGATGATGGAAATATTAGACGTATGATTATATCAATGTGAGTTCACAACATCCTACAAATCAAACATAATTTCAAAGTATTCAGTTAGGAAACAAAATCTGAAAAATAAGGGTACTGCATATGTTTAAATCATACTATAATTAGGTAATAATTATCAAAGACATACAATTTTAAAATGATATACATAGAACTGAAATCATATTACTAGTTAATTAATTTGAGATTTAATAACCAAAATAATAAAAAAAATTGACATTTATTAGCTTTATCCTTAAAGAAACATTGCTAACTATGTTAGTCTAAAACATTGATGCATGCAGGAAAATTTCAATATTCACAAGAATGAACCGTGACCGAAGCTTCAGCAAAAAAAAAAAAAGAAAAAAAAAACATAAAATAAGACAAATTTTATTAATAAAATGACTATCTTCATGAAACCATCCCTATCGTCTTCATAGTAAGCCTTATCATAATTGAGACCGGATAAAGCATGGTTGATATTTTATTGGCATCGCTGCAACTTGTGTAGAGCAATTTACATGCGAAAAAGATTTTTCAAAAAGAGAATACAAACATAGAGTAGTGCCACCTGTGAACAAAAAAAAATGTACATTTTTCATGTCATAACTGCCGACTCACTAACATCTCATTTTTTTACAATTCAATGAGGTTCATATTTTGCATGTGTATTCTAAAAAGAAGTCTCTAAGGCTAAAAAAAAGATAAAAATTCATTGGGGAAGTATTAATCAAGAAAGAAAGAGGAGGAAAATCCACAACCAAATTCAATCCATGCAACAATTAACTTCTCAAAATTCCAATCAGTTCATCACGCAATACTGAAGGGCAAGCCTCGAAGAAGTATTTACATTTTCCAATGGGGATCAATAAGTTTATTTTCAACAAATTAATCCCATCCGGTAAATTTTAGCTTTGAAATCAAAGAAAATTAATCAAATGACAAATCCACAATAATCAAAGAATGTATCAAAATTTTCATCATAAAGTAATTGAAAATGCCTTTTCAAGCTTGGACTGATAATCAAACCAAAAAAAAAAGTATAAACTTCCAATATACATATTCTTCATCTCATCCAGAGTAACATATGTGAATATTGGTTCAAGTATTAAAGCAAGACAAAGGCGCTCTTTTAGAACAGCATTCATCATCATCATTACGAATACCCTTAATCCCAAATAGTTGGTATCAGCTCTTTTCCTGATAACATCTGAATCTTAAAATTGGAAAATTAAAGATCCACTGACAAGATTCTTGCAATACATGAATGCCTTGCCACTCCTATTCAAAACCCAAACCACATCAAATCAAAATCGCACATCCAAAAAATTATGAAATCGCTATATACACCTTGACGGATCTAACTAAAAATATGAGAAAAAATGTTAAATACCTAAAGTGTGAAAAATAATGGGTTAAGTTCACTTTTGCAATTTTGGCAGAAAGATGGATGCTTCATCCAACAATTTTGATGAAGAAACAAACGCTCGCTCTAGCAGTTGCGAGTTACGCGAAGTAGTCTTAGGGCAGAGGAAGAAGGCGTTATGTTATAGAGCAAGGTAGGTATGTAACAACGTCACCCTTATAAACTATCATCTCCAACGCAAATTAAATCCGCCGAACCACTGGATTTCATAAATCCTAGATTTATGGAAAAATGTGGTTGGCACGGGATTTAAATTTGGGTAGAATTTATTTTGTCCAAAATGAGTATTTAGCAGAACTTAAGCTTAAATCCCGCACAAATCGTGCTTAAATCTAATAATACCAAAGGCATTGTTGGCTCTGGCAGTAGTGGAAACCAATTAAATATCATCTCAGAGAGAGAGTTGAGACCTGGAGGTGAAGCAAGACTTTCGAGTGAAAGTCCACCAAATTTAGATGCTTGTTCGCTCATAATTAGATTTTAACATTATAATCTTCAAATATAATATCAAAATCATCCATAATCATCAACAATTTAAAATTAGCGATATGAATGATTTCAAGGCTTCAAAATTATTTGGTCCTCAAATAGATTGAAGGAAGTTGGGATTTCAAAGCAGAGCATTTCAAATAGGTCAGGTTTAAAAACACGGATTCACGAATTAGCATATGTTGGATGGATTTGAGAAAAAAATATATGGGCAAAACTTAACCGTTAAGAGGGCTTTTATATCATCTAATCATCCATAATTTTTTCAAATTAATGAGCGGTTAAATTATTATGAAAATTATAGAAACTTGACCAATGAGTAATTTTTATGTTGTAGATCATAAATTAATAATGTGATTCAGTGTTTATAGATGAATTAAATCAAACGATACATAAATAAAATTAGGAAGAGAGTAGGGGTTGCAAGAAAACTCTCTAATTTTTTTAATATATATATAATTCTCACCAAGTTTTCTAAAAGATTGTTTTATCAACCAATGCTACAAAATCACATTTATAAAAAGTTATAGCCGCCCTAAACAGACACGTAATGTCATAAGTTGGAGGGATTTTTAACACAGATTTTTTGTACAGGGGACATAACACATTCACATCTGTTTCAGCATTTTTTACAAGGGAAATCGCAAGTCCAGTTACAGCTATTCCAAAATCAGATATTGTAAAGCAGTTTTCTTTCTACATAAAATTAAAAAAAAAAGAACCACTTAATGTAGCAACACAATCTACTCATCCAGTGACACTTCGAACCATACCTTTTCTTCATCGCTTTCCAGACCTGTGTTGTTAAATAAATTGTTCTGGACCTAAGAAAAATATCACCCTATTTGTATTCTATGTGGGTAATTAAGGTGATTTGTTGTTATGTTTTAGTTATTTTTTTTTAAGTTTTTTTTATGAATTTTCAACTCTTCACAATTTTGGCATTCTATTCATTGTTATAACATTTTACTTACGACACGTCTTGTATGAGTATTTATTTATTTGTGTACATGTTTTATCTAGCATGCAAATGATATTTTTAAATGCATGATGGTCGCGCATTATTATGCTTGTCAAATATTAACCATAGCTTTTACATGACGCATGGTTATATGTGTGAATTTTGCAATATTTATTCAAAATTAACGAATGAGATTGGTTCTGCATCATATGAAAAGCATAAGTGCCACCCCTTCCCACAAGAATAATTCTATAGTCGGTTCGGCCGGGTCATTGTGTCAGAAGATAAACTCTGGCTTATGATAAAACCAGCCCAACTACTCAAAATTGGCAAATTATACATAAATAAACTGAGAAAATGATAATTTGACATCAAATACAAGACAAAGACATGTTATTAAAAATGATAAAGGATGAATAGCATTTATCATAAAAAATAATAATAATAACCTCTATAGCTCCCACTGTTGGTGATTCCAGGTAGAATTGTTCTTGGAGCTGTCGAGCTAGTATCTCATCCGACTCAAGTTGCATAGATCTAGCAATAGATTCATCTAAACGTTCACGGGTTCCCTCTTGGGTATTACTTTCGATTTCATCAATCTCTACAATTGGAGCTAATTCGGTATCAACTCTCACTAATTTCCGGCTTCTTGTTGATCTTTGGTATGAAGGTTTAGTGAATGTTCGATCATATGATATCCTCGGGCTATCAATAGTTGAGCTAGAACATTCGCCAGCATTTGAGGGCATAAAGTTAATTTTACGTTTCCCTGTAAGCGGTGGAGCTTCCGAGTTCAATTTGAAACATCCTTGAACTCGAGTAATATTTCGTCCAGATTGTGAGGCATTTTCTTCGGGTTTGATATCAATAGAAAGAGCATATTTTGTATTTTCACCCCTGGAATTAGATAAATGATGAGACATATTCTTGCCCTCAGAAATATGGGCAGCATGAGAAGGAAGAAGAGATGAACTTCCCAAATGCCTATGTTTTCCCTCAAATCCATCAATCTGAATCCTATCAGTGTCATAATCCATGTCTGAAATGATGGTGACGTCCATTTGAGGCATCAAGCAAGATCTGCGAACATCATAAGTATAGGTAAAAAACAAGATAAAGGCGTGAGAAAGGTTTGAAAGAAGGGTTTAACGAGAGAGAGAGAGAGAGAGAGAGAGAGAGAGAGAGAGAGAGAGAGAGAGTTAAATCACAAAATGGTCCCTGACAATACTCATGTGGCCAATTTAATCCTAAAATTTTGTGATGCTCGAATGTGGTCCCCCGAGTATTGAAAATTGATCTCAATTGATCCCTTAGAGATTGAAATGGGATCAATTTTGTCTAGTCCGGGGACTAAATTAAGACCATTTTTGCATCATAATTTCTAACGAGAGATAAATTGAGATCAATTTCCAACAGTAGGGGCACTAAATTGGGGCACCGCAAAATTCTGAAACTAATTTGGCCACATCCAAGTAGTAAGAGGACTATTTTGAGACTTATTCCTATATATCTGCATATGCACACAACTATAATTACAGAAATGCATACATACATACATATAAAAAGGGATACTTTAAACCATTTGATAAACAGTTAACTGAAACAATTACAAATATCAAGGCATCTATGATTGAACAAGATGAATTTTTATCATAATAAGAAAGTTTAAGTTATCTAATTAATGGCAAGTTCAACCTCTCCTTTGAAACCAGGCAATCCAAACACTTTCAAAAGGGATTTTCATTGAAGCCTTAACATCAAGCATATTAGGCACAAATGACATCATGTACTCAGTTTTAAAAAGTAAGGTAAGGTAATCAAACAAAGCATTTTGTGGCAAATAAAATCTATCAAAGCTGCTATAGGTTTTCATAACATTTCAAACATATGAGTTAGAAGAGTTCAATTAAGCCACAATAAGATAGCAAAAACTACCTTAGACGATGATAAACACCCCATTAATATTAAGTATATCTTCATCCCACCTTCCTAAGCTCCTATATAATACAGATAAATTGTATGAGAGGGCCCAAGCATGACAACCTACCCATACAATAAACACCACATGCAAATGGTTCCAGAAAAATAAAAGAAAATACAGAAAAATACATGAGAGCCCAAAAACCAAAAGTGACAAAACACGTAGCATTAGATAGCTAGAGAGCGACCCAATTTTGCCTTGCCTCTGCCTCTAGTAACAAATTTGTAAGATGAGTGTCATTGTCAATAGTAATTAATGTATCGTCCAATAACTTCCTAAGCTCGACTCGCCCTTCATTATTCTTCTTCCTCCTAGAATAGACCTGTCATTTCTCATCCAAAGACTGACTCATCTGATCAGTAGATTGGTCTAAAGTGTGTTGGACATGTGTAAGTTGTTTAACACGTTTGGATTAGTACTAGTAGTATGGAGAGATGTTTCATGAGACTCCAGAGTACCATGCTTCAATTCAGCAGCTAGAATAGATTGTTCAAAAGCAAAAGCATCCAGGGGTAGAACGGCTTGGGTATGATACTCTTCATATGAAATAACAAAAATTTGAATAGGAGGGTCATCAAAAAATTTCTTATCAGGAAAGACGTAAATCAGATGAGCAAAGATATAAGTGGTGTTGGAAAGAGGGTCAGATTGGCACCTCCTCAGCAGACATGGTAGGTAGCAAGACGTCCACCCCAAATTCAGTACGAATAGATTTTTGAACAGGTTGCTGATCTTTAGCAATATTCAGCCTTAAATGAGGATGAAAGCGATAGCAAATAGTAGAACTGTGGTCGAACATACTACAATGAGAGCAATAAAAAGTGTGGTTCAATTTCAACCTTTTGTCAATACCCGTTGCGAGTGGATCAAATTTATACCTTATCTAGAGCTAGTTGGGTGATCTCTTTCTCAACTAACACACAAGCCACAAAGGGTCTGGTGACAGTAAGCGTAGGACTATCAAGCTTGAGAGGCTTACCGTAAGCAGTTGCTAAGGAGTAGAGAATTTTAAAGTTGAACAAGTGTAGTTTTAACCCCTGAAATTTTATCCAAACATGAATGATAGGAGACTCTGCTTCAAAGTCGACAGTCCACTTTAGGATTTTCATAAAACAGTTGACAATCTTGATTACCTTTCGAGAAAAAATACGGGTGTAATCCGCCTCATGAAATAATTGAATAAGTATATATCGGTTGTTAAGTAAGTCAATACTCCATCTATCTGATAGCTTTATAGCATCAAAATCTTTCTGAATGGTCTCAAGTTTAAGGTGACCATAAAAGAATTTTCCCACTAGAGCAAAACACCAAGAAGACGCAAGAGTATTGATTTCAACCTTTGAGAGAAAAAGAGCAGGTTTTCTATTTTTTTACCAAGTTTTTTAATGAAAGTGTGATCACCACCACCTTCAAGAGTCTCGTGGAAGGATTGTGAAACAATGCAGGACTTACCGATACCAAAACCAGGCTTTGAACTTTTTACGAGTAGGATTGTCACCGGCAAATGCAGTGAATGAGAAAAGAGCATCGAGGTCATCTCCACTAGGCAAGATGACCACGGAATGAGTCTGGAGCGGCGTGGCGAGCCTCGTCAATCTGCGACCCGAGGAAGGAGACGACGTGCGAAGACTGCAAACAACGTAACCAAAAATCGTATCAAGAACGAAAGATAATGACGTCGTGCGAGCTGTCTGCAGACGCTGACAAAACTGCGAGACGATGACGACGCGCCAAGCAGGAAGAAGACGTCATGCGAGCTGTCTGCAAATGCAGACGAGGCAATCGGAAAAGGAGAAGGTTGGTGCGAAGTTGTTCGTCGTTGAGCACGATGAAACCGTTCGTCGTGGAAAACGAAGAAACCAAAGAAGTGAAAAGCCAAAAGATTCAAAGCCAGGAATCTCCAATAGGCGAAAACCCTAGCAGAGTTGCACGTCATATATAGATATATATATATATTGGGGGGGAAAGAGCATCGAAGGCTCCCTACGTGTTAAAATTAAGAGACAGGTACAAAAGTTGGAGGGGAGGAGGATCCCCATCTAAAACAGCCAAAAAATACTTTAACACACACCCAAGGGTTCCTCCTCCCACATTACAACTCACGCGAAATGAAAACTTCAAACTTACAAGTATACTCAAGCCAAAATAACAAAACTCAAAATTAGTATACTTGCGCCCGTGTAGTAGAAATAACAGAAAAAGAAACAAAAGATAATCCAAGAAAAAAAAAGAGGCAGCAAGAAATTTCTAATCCACTGGAAACACTCCAGCAAACAGCAGTGCAAACTTGGATGTCGATCGACTGAGCAAAACAACCAAACAACACAAGACCAGCGTAAACTAAGAGATCAGGAGAGCCAGAGACAAAGACAGAAAGAGGTGCAAATCTGAAACCTGCTAGCAAAATAAAAAAACCACAAGAGGGAGGGTGCAAAACCAAACCACAGTAAAGATACGAGAGCACCCAGTCAGAGATTCGAGCAGCAAGTAGTTTCTAAAATCTAACATAAAGCAAATTCAGGTTATCCCCAATAAGGAGACGCCTGAGAGGAGCAAGGGGTGATAAACCTACAGAGCATGTATCCCCTGCTTGTCTGGCTAACCAATCGACAAAAGAGTTGCCCTCTCTATGGATGAAACTCCAACTCACTTTCATATGTCCTTTAGAAATTAAAGCATAAATATGTTTAAGAATGCATATAATATCCCAGAGAGGAGAGATACCCAACAATATATCATAGAACATTTTCGAATCAGTTTTCACCTCAATCGTATGAAAATTGAAAGTAATTGCCACCATTAATGCAAGAAAACCCCCCCAGCATTCTGTGGCTAAGGGGTTGTCAGTAGCAACAGGAGAAGTAAAATAGCACATATACTTACCCTCAAAATTTCTAAAAATGCCCCTAACCGCCCTCAGCAGATCAAGGGTTCCAACTGCCATCCACATTCACCTTAACCCATCCGAAAGATGGGGGAGCCACCTGATTAAACGGGGGGGCCTGAAGTTCGAAACATCATTGGTACAAACCCTGAGAGTGGGTCTTGGTGTATGTCGGCACTAAAAAGTAAGGAAGAGGTTGTTTGGGGGGTCGCCCGTAAGAAGCTGTCGGCAGCCGGAATTGAAATCTCATCGCCCGCTTCGGAAGGACGTTTTAATTTACGTAT